AATAATACACTTAATATGTGTATACATGTGATAAAGGTCAAGAGAAGGAAGTAAGTCTCGAAAAAGAAAATAGAAAAAATTAATAATTTCAAAAACTGTTGCCAAACAGTAACTTAGCTTTTGACATGGATTGTCAATCTCATTGTATAGGGGCTATTGGAAGTAGAAATATTCCAAAATGCTAAGTTTGAAGGATAGAAATATCAAATCTTCCATTCGATATCTTAATTACTGTTAATTTATAGAGTGCACGACATCAAAATCATATAAATATTTATATATGTTAGAACTTCATGCATAATTGATATCCTTTTTGAAGGAACAGTAAAATGATTGTCAAATTCATCACCTCCTATCAATTAAAATGGGTCAAAAGCGGGCATCTCACCCTTTTTGAATGCATTTATGATATGAGGGAGTCTAATGCCAGTTTAATACCTTTTGGAAAAAAAACCTACCACATTATTCCTCCAGTTTCTGCATAGATGTCCAACCTTTAAATACCCCAAAAGAAATCTTTGAATACTGAACTGAATCAAGCTTGATACTTATTCCAATTGAAGTTCTCTCCATTAATCTTTATTCTTTCACTTAAGCGGGATTCATTTATGAATAATAGGTCCCTCACTTATAATGATTTGTAATATACTATTGAGTGAAATTGAACGAAAGTATAATGGACAAAACCTGAATCAAATATTATACACATATATAATTAAAGGACATTCAAGATCTGACATGTGGCATGCCTTCTGTCAAGTTCAAAGTAGTCCAGCAAACACATCGGACTCGTTTGTTTGCCGTATTAAAAATGAATAGATTATATAAAATAATCCAGTATAATACAATACAACAGGACAAAAGACAAGATTAAATAGAGTATTAGAATAATACATAATTTTATCTAGTGTTTGACAATACACAACATAAATATTAGATAATAGTTATTTAATTCAATCGGTTATTTGATTAGGGAATTATTTCATCATATTAATACTAAATTAACAAAAATACCTTCAATTAGTGTTTGTTACATTGATGACAATTTGATTTTATTTGTTGGAGGGTTATAATAGTAATTGTGTAGAATAATACGTTTGAGTTGGATTATAATACCACATTTTTTGGATTTTAAAATACTTCCATAACAAAGGTCTATTGTATAAAAAATATATGATAAGTATATGATTAATATACGTTTTTAAAATTAATACGATATTAAATTTGTTTATCAAACAAAGTATTAGACCCCGATTAAATAAAAAATAATATAATCCAATAGTTAATTTCCTCGTAATATGTCTACCAAACAAGTCCATCAGGTTTTTTGTAGTAGGACTGTCAAAATGTTGTACCAGAGGCCCCACTAAAACCGGTCACAGTGCTATTGTATTTTCAAGTCGTGTAAATCGCATTGTACAGAATTTGTTCAACTCATACTTGATCCGTCTATGGTCATACATAGTCAAATTTNTTCTTTTTTTTTTTTTTAATTTTTTCAGACGGCATTTGGTAATGCTTTTTTAAGTAATTTTTTAAACAAAAAGTAATTTTGTCAAAAAAGTAAAAATATGTTTAATTACTCATTGTGTTTTAATATATAAATAATACACTTAATATGTGTATACATGTGATAAAGGTCAAGAGAAGGAAGTAAGTCTCGAAAAAGAAAATAGAAAAAATTAATAATTTCAAAAACTGTTGCCAAACAGTAACTTAGCTTTTGACATGGATTGTCAATCTCATTGTATAGGGGCTATTGGAAGTAGAAATATTCCAAAATGCTAAGTTTGAAGGATAGAAATATCAAATCTTCCATTCGATATCTTAATTACTGTTAATTTATAGAGTGCACGACATCAAAATCATATAAATATTTATATATGTTAGAACTTCATGCATAATTGATATCCTTTTTGAAGGAACAGTAAAATGATTGTCAAATTCATCACCTCCTATCAATTAAAATGGGTCAAAAGCGGGCATCTCACCCTTTTTGAATGCATTTATGATATGAGGGAGTCTAATGCCAGTTTAATACCTTTTGGAAAAAAAACCTACCACATTATTCCTCCAGTTTCTGCATAGATGTCCAACCTTTAAATACCCCAAAAGAAATCTTTGAATACTGAACTGAATCAAGCTTGATACTTATTCCAATTGAAGTTCTCTCCATTAATCTTTATTCTTTCACTTAAGCGGGATTCATTTATGAATAATAGGTCCCTCACTTATAATGATTTGTAATATACTATTGAGTGAAATTGAACGAAAGTATAATGGACAAAACCTGAATCAAATATTATACACATATATAATTAAAGGACATTCAAGATCTGACATGTGGCATGCCTTCTGTCAAGTTCAAAGTAGTCCAGCAAACACATCGGACTCGTTTGTTTGCCGTATTAAAAATGAATAGATTATATAAAATAATCCAGTATAATACAATACAACAGGACAAAAGACAAGATTAAATAGAGTATTAGAATAATACATAATTTTATCTAGTGTTTGACAATACACAACATAAATATTAGATAATAGTTATTTAATTCAATCGGTTATTTGATTAGGGAATTATTTCATCATATTAATACTAAATTAACAAAAATACCTTCAATTAGTGTTTGTTACATTGATGACAATTTGATTTTATTTGTTGGAGGGTTATAATAGTAATTGTGTAGAATAATACGTTTGAGTTGGATTATAATACCACATTTTTTGGATTTTAAAATACTTCCATAACAAAGGTCTATTGTATAAAAAATATATGATAAGTATATGATTAATATACGTTTTTAAAATTAATACGATATTAAATTTGTTTATCAAACAAAGTATTAGACCCCGATTAAATAAAAAATAATATAATCCAATAGTTAATTTCCTCGTAATATGTCTACCAAACAAGTCCATCAGGTTTTTTGTAGTAGGACTGTCAAAATGTTGTACCAGAGGCCCCACTAAAACCGGTCACAGTGCTATTGTATTTTCAAGTCGTGTAAATCGCATTGTACAGAATTTGTTCAACTCATACTTGATCCGTCTATGGTCATACATAGTCAAATTTATATCGTTTATAAGTCTTGTTTAATCAAGTTTGTGTTGACCAATTTATTAAGATATTTAGCAAATTGGTCATTTATAACCCAACTCAATAAAACTAAACTTATATCCGCTAATTTTATATCTATTCTACATTAGATTAGTAGATCATATTAAAAATTGTCAGCCGAATACATGCAGACACACGAGTCAAGTTGCTTGAATGCATGCAAGACCTTAAAGTTTAAACTAATTAATTATGAATCCACCTTGGACCAGCTCGTATCACTATACACATGCATACGCACTTGCAAGTCAAAGATTGCCACCGAATATGAATCTTCGAATGCCTTTTTGTGAATTATTGCAGAGAATAGATCAAACAAGCAAGAATAAAATTTGGCAATGGATGTGCATAAAGAGGAATTTATTCCTACCTGGAAACTTTCTCTGGCTCGTCCGGCTTGAAACCTGCCCTGTGTGCACCGGAACTACATAAACCTACAAATCAGGAGGTGTACATGAGCTAGATCCCCTGAGAATGCATTTGTTTATCCATCTCAGTCATAATCACATATGGTGGCCATCTGTGCTTGGTAAGAGATGGATGTGAAATATTCCCGCCTTTCCGGTAAATGTAAATTATAGTTTGACCCCCTTAATTATACCTTTTGTTTCACATTTTTAATTACACTAATTTTCTACATTGTACATCTAACTATGGTTATAATTAGATTCATGTTGTTCCCTCAACTATCAGGCTTATCACATTACACTTTCAATTATGGCTATTAATTTCACATATATAATGGACATTTCTTATTCAAAACACGGTGACTGTTTGCTTTTGGGTAGTTTAAAACCAATTCAAGCGGTTGATGAGGCAATGAGAGAAACTCAATACTAAGAGATAAAAATGAGACTGGTGTCAAATTTGAGGGGGGTGAAGTATAATTTGCCATTCAAAGAAATGGATTCATTAAACAAAGAATAATATTCGAGGCCATTTTAATAAAGGGGAGCATGACAGAATTTTTGTTTGGAATATGTGCTTCCTTCCATTGCCTTTCCAGTTAACATGTTTAGGAACTTACCTGCAGCCAAATCCTCATACCCCTAGAAGAAGGCAGAGAAGTAAAGAGGTTCATTTAAGTCCCTCAGAAAGTTCTAATTTGGCATTCCCCCATAACAAACATGTTTGAAGCTCAAAAGCGTGAAATGGAACATTTAGGGCCCACTTAAGCGGCCTTACCAAGTATATAAACCACCCCCAATACACCCAAATTATCAACTCCTCCACATCTCTTCTAAAGCAAACAACTTGTTCATTTTGGAGTTTCTCATAATTTTCTCGAGGTGAGTCCCCTGCAATTTCTGCATTTTGGATTATGCAATAGGTCTGTAACTCGAAATGTCCTCCACCCTTTCCACTAATCCAATCCCCATTGAACTCCATTTGTTGCAAAATATAATTTGTGGTCCGAAACATTTTATTATTGTTGATAGTCCTTAGATTTCAATAGCCCTATCGAACAACCTTGTTGTGGGTTTGAACCTGATGACAACACTACTTTGCAAAAATAGTGAAATATGTTAGGTTTGTACCGAGTCCACCCCTATCAAGTCTCAAATCTTCATTAATGGAGACCAAACCTGGTCTTAGTGATATAGATTGCAATTCCATGTTGGGGGCCAAGAGTGCTTTGTTGCCAGGATAGCATTCTATATTGCACTTGCTGATTAAGTTTAGCCTATAGTACTATCATCATAGAAGCGTATTATCCACTATACCATAGCTATATATATATGCTGTATTGCTTATGTTTTTTTTATGGCAATTTACATAGTTATAGTGTTAATACCTATCTACAGAAGACGTGAATGCAATGTCTATGTTTATCTCTCTTAATATCCTAGCCTGCTGAATTTTCAGATATTAGGAGAGAGAAATGAGCAGGGAAGGAGATTGGATGTGCCCTTCATGCCAGCATATGAATTTCAAAAAACGTGACACGTGTCAACGATGTAGCTGCCCTAAATATGCCGGGACTGATGTTTCAGCATCGTATGGAATTGGTCGAACGGAGGTATTGGCAGGGGACTGGTACTGCAATGCCATTACCTGCAAATCTCATAACTATGCCAGCCGAAAAAGCTGCTACAGGTGTGGTGCACCAAAAGATGGCGACTATGGTTTTGGTGGTGGCATGGTGGGATCGACAGGATATGGATACGAGGCCAGTGTCGTTCCTGGTTGGAAAACTGGTGACTGGATGTGTTCCAGGTGATGTCAAAATAATTACCCTAAGCTAGGAAAGAAGTGAAATTTAAGTAGCAATAAGCATATCTTTTCGATACTTCAAACCATATCCGCAAACTGCTGAAAACTAGGCTGCATACATTAAGCTTTTCTATAGCAGTTCACATCTATATTGATCAATGTGATGCAGTGTTAACGGGATATGGAAAAACTACCGTTTCATTTTTGAAGGTCAAAACTTTGAAAATTGTCTTAAAATTACTTGTGTCATGGCAAAAAAATGAATATAAATCTTTGGATCGGTCAAGTGATAGCACTGCTACATTCCAACTGTGTCCATTCTGTCACATTCCATTACGGTTTAAATATGTGTTGGTCTTCTCATTCTAGGGAATCACGGCTTGTTGAGAATGTCCTTTATGCCTATGGATTCTTATGCATATTGTAATTTCTTGTGGGATTCTCATCTAATATGAGTGCAATCTGGATGTGGCCAGACTAGGATGTGGTGCGCACAACTATGCCAGTAGGATGGAATGTTTCAAATGTAGAACACCAAAGGACTTTGGTAAGCAATGTACAACGTTCTTATGGTGTACTCTTTTCTATGATTGTGAGCACTATTGGACTTCAATATCCTAAGACATTCCTTCATTTTGTTACCAGGAGGTGCAATCTGAGTGAAGCAATTTAAGAGAAACACTGTCTTCAGTTGAATCCCAGAATTTTTGCAGTTCGGAACCTCCAAACACACGTTTTCTTTTTCCTGCTGATATTTTTTTTTGTTTTGTTTCACTTGTATTTCCTCTTCAGTATAATAAGCTGTAGTTCATGATTGGTGAACCATTTTCATCTACATTGCCATGTATCTGGCCCAATAAGGGTTCACACTTTAACTCCTTCGAATAATATGATAACTTCTCTCTCTCTCTAATACCCTTTTTCTAAATTATCTTGTTTTTCGAGGCATGGTCAATATTTTCTTATCATTTGTTTGAAAACTATAGCATAAAGGTAACTAAAGTGCTAGTAAAGAGCATATCAACATGCTTAAAAACTTTTTTTTTTTTGGGGGAAGGGGAGGGGGATTTGATCCTTTGACCTTAAGAAGACAAAATTTTTATAAGACAAAAAATACCATTGAACCAAAGGCTCATCGGTGCGCTTAAAAACTAAGTGCCAAAAATCGATTGAATATAAAAAATGATAGACTTAAATATTCGTGAAACACATAAATAAGCATTTTTAAATTTCACTGTTGTACCGGTTTATCCCAATGTCTTTGTACCGGTACATGTTGTATTGGTTCTTCCCTGAACCAACGCCATGAAAATAGTTTCCAACCTCTCTTCCCATTCCTTCCACTCCCAACCCCTTCTAAACATCAGTCAACCCATCCTTTAGCATATAGAAGTTTAAAAACACACTAAATTAGGAAAATAAGGATTATTACAAAGAGAATATCTTCTTCGAAACTCTACTGAAACCTCCGAATATCAAGATCTCCAAAGTTCTTGAATTCTTCGATTTAACACCACCAATCCAAAAAGTGGAGTGTAGTCAAAACTTTGAGGATGAGATGAGAAGAAGAGTATTTACTTTTCCTCAAGGAGACAATAGAAACCACTAATCGATGCTCAAAATCCACCCACTTCTCCCCCCTTCTAATGAGCCGGTGCATGCAAAGGAAGTCTTC